TTAAAACATTTTCTACGTATCAGTAATTATAAGCAAGCTCCGTTACGCCTATGTTTAGCATATTTTGCAGAAATGTTTGTTACTAGCTAATTTATATGAAATTTTAGGATATGGCACTTCGCTCGGCGATGTATTAACTAGTGTTTTACATTATTAAGCTTAAGGTGAATTACAGATCAGGACCTCTACGTCTTTTCACAGTCTTAAGACACAAGGAGGAGTTTGAACTATATCAAAATTCTACTGTACATTTGAACTTCTAGAGTTTTCAAACACCATCCCTTTGAAATCCGAGATTTCTTTCCAAACTTCCACTTCTAATTCCAACAATACATGATCATAAAGCTTAAGACTGCAGTCATATTTTGTTTATTGTCATAGTCAAAATTTTGATAGAAAAACTGCTTTTAGGGACAATTTTGCCCCATTTTGTGCGAGAGTTGGGCGCGCCAAAAAGAGGCGTGGTCCCACGAGCACGCTACGTGCAAATCCGCATTGTCGTCAAAGGGTTAATAGCTATCTCTTCTTAGAACATCGTCGACTCTCCTTGATGAATCGCCTACCGACCGGCAGCATGCCACAAATGATTTCAAGGCCGATGGCAACTAATAACCCACTTCAAAATCCACAACGGCGACGGATGCAGGGCAGAGATTATAGGTAAGTGTCTTCATCGCATGAGTACTTGTGTTGTTTCGGTGTGGGCCGTCATTCGTTGAAGTAAACCCCAGAGCAAATTTGTAGGACCACAGCGGTTGATAACGGTTAGGGCTGTGTTGACTAAAAATGAAAAAAGAAGCGACGAAAACCGTCGAGAGGTCCGCTACACCGTAATCCAGTTGCGTGTCATGGGATGTGCCGGACGAAACTTTGTACAACGTCCAAATGCTAAGATTAGTCGCCAAATGCTGACTTTGTAAGACCCTAGCGCCATTGTCGCGCACTTTCGAGCCGCACAACGGCACATCTGTGCTACTCGTGGGCTACTCTATCCCACCCACTAAATAGATTCTTCTATACGACCTCTATAAGGGGGTACCATATTTCTCGGCCGTGAGTGCAGAACTGGATATGTATACTGTTTGAGATTCATAATTTCGAAAAGATTCAGCCAGATATCCAATTCCACAATAATGACTCGTATAATTAAGGGTTCGGGAAATCGATGTTTCTCCTCGTCTGGAACGCTTTTTCAAAAAATATTGGGAGATTTGCAAATTGGAGAACCTTTCGGATCACAAAAGTAGAATACCGATTTCTGTGCCGACCGAGGCGAATCAAGAAGGTGAACAAGTGTTCGAAGAATGCGTAGAGTTTCATCGTGACCACTCATTGAGGGAACCTATGTAGAGCTTGGAGTAGGTTGAACACAGACCACTAGCAAGGTCAGCGTGTTCTGCCCACGTTTCCGAATTTGCTGGCTTTTGTTCGCCTTGCTATCATGACCTGTAAGCCTGGAAGTTTACCGATCTGTAACAAGGTAGCTATTAGTGAAGAAATAGTGAGAATTTGAAAAGGGTGTATTCGCTATTACGGAAAACATGGCATGTACTTCAGTATGTTTCGAACACAAGCCTGAATCATCGAATCGGTGTACCTGCTGAGTAGGAGAAAGAAAGTAAAATGAATAAAGAATTGTTTTGCTGGAAATTTCCAAGAATGATAAATTCCAGGTAAATTTCCAATCATGAGAGAACGTAAAATCAAAAGACCATCGACTGCATGATAAATAACATTAAGCAGAACCAGTTTTTTGTTGAAAAAAGTCGCTAAAATGTCAACAGGCCTAGTATGGAATCAGCGAATTAAGTGTCTATTAGGGCAACTCCTCCATCTTTCTTCGAACTTGACGAGTTTCTCTACTATTTGGTTTTTTTCTGCATAAAATTTCCTTACCCTTTCCCATAGTGTCTCGATGATGCACAGAATATCCATCTAAAATTGTACCCCGTTAAAACACGCCATCGTCGAGAGCGCTCTTGCACAGTTGAGGTGGTATGCTCTGGATTTCTCTATTGCTAAGAGACGAACAATTTGGTGCAGGTGCGGTACGTGACCCATATCACATTCTGGAGTCTAACATGTACGTACGCTTTTACCACTTTC